TGTGGACTAAAGACCAAACATAAGACAATGTGCTTTTTACAGATAAGGTCTTTACTGATAAAGTGATGAGAAATATATACAGTATTCACAGCAGTTAAGGTGACATTAAAGGGGTGTTTCATGCAATCAAATCGAAATTGCTGTACAACAAATACAGCAATTTGACAAAAGGTACAAAATTGTACAGTACCAGTCAAAAGTTTGGACACATCTACTCATTCAAGGGTTTTTCTTTATTTTTTTACTATTTTCTACATTGTAGAATAATATTGAAGACATCAATATGAAATAACACATATGGAATCATGTAGTAACCAAAAAAGTGTTAAACAAATCAAAATATATTTTATATTTGAGATTCTTCAAAGTAGCCACCCTCTGCCTTGATGACAGCTTTGCACACTCTTGGCATTCTCGCAACCAGCTTCATGAGGTAGTCACCTGGAATGCATTTCAATTAACAGGTGTGCCTTCTTAACAGTTAATTTGTGGAATTTCTTTCCTTCTTAATGCGTTTCAGCCAATCAGTTGTGTTGTGACAAGGCAGGGGTGGTATACAGAAGATAGCCCTATTTGGTAAAAGACCAAGTCCATATTATGGCAAGAACAGCTCAAATAAGCAAAGAGAAACGACAGTCCATCATTACTTTAAGACATGAAGGTCAGTCAATCCTGAACATTTCAAGAACTTTTAAAGTTCAAGTGCGGTCGCAAAAACCATCAAGCGCTATGATGAAACTGGCTCTCATGAGGACCGCCACTGGTATGGAAGAGCCAGAGTTTACTCTGCTGCAGAGGATATGTTCATTAGAGTTAACTACACCTCAGAATGCAGCCCAAATAAATGCTTCACAGAGTTCAAGTAACAGACACATCTCAACATCAACTGTTCAGAGGAGACTGCGTGAATCAGGCCTTCATGGTCAAATTGCTGCAAAAAAAAACACTACTAAAGGACACCAATAAGAAGAAGAGACTTGCTTGGGCCAAGAAACACGAGCAATGGACATTAGACCAGTGGACATCTGTCCTTTGGTCTGATGAGTCCAAATCTGAGATTTTTTATTCCAACCACTGTGTCTTGTGAGAGGCAGAGTAAGTGAACAGATGATCTCCGCATGTGTGGATCCCACCGTGAAGCATGGAGGAGGAGGTGTGATGGTGTGGGGGTGCTTTGCTGGTGACACGGTCAGTGATTTATTTAGAATTCAAGGCACACTTAACCAGCATGGGGCTACCACAGCGATACGCCATTCAATCTTGTATGCACTTAGTGGGACTATTTGTTTTTCAACAGGACAATGACCAAAAACATACCTCCAGGCTGTGTAAGGGTTATTTGACCAAGGAGAGTGATGGTGTGCTGCATCAGATGACCTCCACAATCACCTGACCTCAAACCAATTGAGATGGTTTGGGATGAGTTGGACCGCAGAGTGAAGGAAAAGCAGCCAACAAGTGCTCAGCATATGTGGGAACTCCTTCAAGACTATTGGAAAAGCATTCCTCATGAAGCTGGTTGAGAGAATGCCAAGAGTGTGCAAAGTGGTCATCAAGGCAAAGGGTGGCTACTTTGAAGAATCTAAAATATATTTTGATTTGTTTAACACGTTTTTGGTTAGTACCTGATTCCATATGCGTTATTTCATAGTTTTGATGTCTTCACTATTATTCTACAATGTAGAAAATAGTAAAAATAAAGAAAAACCCTTGAATGAGTAGGTGTGTCCAAACTTTTGACTGGTACTCTATATGGTACATCAAAATGCAAAAGAAACAAACATACATCACTTAAAAATAAATGTCCTCCCAATCATAAGTACAAAACTGAGTACAAGCTTTCAGGACTATGTACAGAGAAAGGTAGAAAACAACTGCTCAACACTCAGCAGTCAACAGTTACACCGTGGTAAAAACATTTCTCACAATTATATAATATAGTTTGAATTCAATTTCATATTATGCCGTACATACATTTCTAAATCAAAATGGAGCACTGAGATTTGTTAGTTGTCAAAACAAACTATAAATACTTATTTTTAAAGTGCAGATCATTTCAGGCCAGTCGGCAGCCACACAGCCACTCCCAAAGGCAGGTTAGCATTTATTGTCATGAATCTTGCCCTGTAGGCAGCTCTGCAGAGTGGTCTCTAGATGGCAGAGCCACAAAGTCATAAAATCAGATTTGAACCCTAACCTTAACCACACTGCTAACCCTAATGCCTAACCCTAAATGAAGACCAAAAAGCTAATTTCTGTTTTCATGAATTTTTTTCGATATATCCAACTTTGACTTTGCAGCTGGCCCATCTAACGGAAATCCTCAATTCTGCCTCCTGGGCAAGATTCATGACAATAAACATCAACCTCCCAAAGGCCAAAGGGATTGACTGACTAATCAATGAACAGTAAAGTAATGATCTCTTTTCATGTAAAGTCCCCTCGTTAAGTTTCTAAAGGTTTTGCAGCACATGGCCCAAACCTCCATAATGCCTAAAGGAAACAATACACAGTCACTTTCTCTTACTTAACAAATATCCCTGTCACATTTCCCTTCAGTCTCCACATATCTCTGGTCTATCATCAAAATATTGAAGGAAATGTTAGAACTGGGAGAAGGAGATACTGGTATGTTAGCCTCTTAGTAGTTCCATTTAGCTAAGTGGAAAGGGAATTACTTTGAGTATTAAAGTAGGATTCATGTGCATAATGTTTATTTTTATTTTTAATGTATTGTGAATTATATTAAATATAAGCTACATTATATACAGGTAATTGCCTAAATAAAGGAAACACTAGAGTAAATGAGGGATACAAAGTATATTGAAAGCAGGTGCTTCCACACAGGTGTGGTTCCTGAGTTAATTAAGCAATTAAAACATCCCATCATGCGTAGGGTCATGTATAAAAATGCCCAGTTCCCATAATTCTGGCCAGCATAACTAGAAGAAGAGATCTCAGTGACTCTGAAAGAGGTGTCTCAAAGGAGCATAGGGGGTTTAAAGGGTGTGTGTGTGTCAGTCACCAGATCTCAACTCAATTGACCACTTATGGGAGATTCTGGAGCGGCGCCTGAGACAGCATTTTCCACCACCATCAATAAAACACCAAATTATGGAATTTCTTGTAGAAGAATGGTGTTGTATCCCTACAATAGAGTTCCAGACACTTGTAGAATCTATGCCAAGGCGCATTTAAGCTGTTTTGGCAGTTAGCTGTACATAAATAGTAGTAGTGTTGTAATTGTTATTACTTTGCATTATAGCTATGTTAACAACGAGATCAATCCAGATCCTGATTCTAAGAGATTGTTAACTTTGCCTGAGGAGTGTGGCTGTTTATCTAAGGCAGTGACTGTTAGTTTAACTAAAATATAAAAAATACTATTAATAGAGTTATATAAATACTTTCTAAATACGAAACCCACTTGCACAAACCATCATCACATTACAGCTTCACATCAACACTTCTCATTAAAAGAAATATTACCATACTAAAGACATTAGATCATAAATCTTATAAGTGGCTCTGAAAAAACAGTTTAGTTGTTTTGGCAACTGTCAAATCTATCCAGTGAAACATTGTGTTTGATATTACTGCTAAAGCTTATGCTTTGGATACCAAGCTGTAGAAAATGCATTATATCTGTACAATAGAAAAAACACCACCGCTCGCTCACACGTATACACGCACACACACCTAGTATGCTTATATTGGAGTGTTCTGCTGTTTGTGTAGTGGTAGGATATTGGGCACTCAAGCAAAACTCTTCAGATGCTGCTAACAGTGTCTCTAAATCAGTGAATGCATTTCAGTTACTTTGCAGGTCCTACATGACCACCTAGCATTGTCAGCATCACCAGACACTTCAAGAGAGGTTATTTAGCAGTATACGATGTACTTGGACATGCAAACCCTCTCCTTCGCTCTTTTTCATTCCATCTAACTATTTTCTTCTGTCTCTCACGCATGCAGTCTCACACACACACACACACACACACACACACACACACACACACACACACACACACACACACACACAAGTAATACCATTGACAGAAAAGCAGGCTATGGAATGAAGCATCACAGTGTAGTAAGCCCACACCTCCCCTGAGTTACATACCCACAGCTTCCTATTCAAAAACCAAAACACCACGTTCCCACAATCTTAGGACAACCCTTCAACCTCTACAGACGAGGTGAGACAAATTCAAAGTAAAACATCATACAGAACTATACCTAAAATATATTACCTATTAGAGAAAAATATTTGGGGGATTCTTTTCAATGTATACAATTCTCAACCACTTGGCCATATTCATTATAAATATCTTTAAATAGGGATGCTGTAGCAGAGAGACCGCTATGTTGGAGTGTTCGGTATCTAGTCTCAAATTACTGAGGGTGATAATACCTGGCCTTAGGAATAGAGGGGTGGAAACTGACAGCCCTTGAAATGCATAGTCAATTATACACAGTGCAGCATGCTAGAAGCTGTTGTAGGCAGGGTTCAAGCTACAGGAGTGTCCAAGGTGCTGGATGCTCCCATAACAAACCAGGGCACTCCTGTAAGAATGAAAAATTATCAACGTGGACACCAATGTCAGCTTTGAATATCCACATTAGTACAGCCCACTACTGTGTTTTAGGGCACCCAACGCATTACATTTTAGTCATTTAGCAGACGCTCTTATCCAGAGCGACTTACAGTTAGTGAGTGCATACATTTTCATACTGGCCCCCCGTGGGAAACGAACCCACAACCCTGGCGTTGCAAGCACCATGCTCTACCAACTGAGCTACACGGGGCCCCACTGTGTAACTTCAAACCATGGTTGTAAGAATCACGAAAGGAAGACTGAGATATAAGCTACAGTCCCTTGGAAAAGGCTTTTTCAGGAGGTACAATGGCAACTGTGTTCGTCACATTGACAAAATGAACCCCAGACTAAGTGGTGTGTGTCTGTATGTTGGTGTGTTGGTCTCCTTCCCTCTCACGTGAAGAGAGCCTGCTTGGTTGAGGTCTCATCCACCAGCGCCTGGACCGTCATGCTCACCTTGATCATACCCTTCTCCTCTAGTATGTGATGAGGCAGACACAGCTTATCCTATGGAGGTTCAACACAGAGAAAGAGAAAGAAGGGAAACAGAGAGAGAGCGAGAGTGGGGGGGAGGAGGGAGAGAGAGTGGGGGAGGAGGGAGAGAGAGTGGGGGGAGGAGGGAGAGAGAGTGGGGGGAGGAGGGAGAGGAGATAGGGAGCGAGTGGGACAGAAATAGAGAGATGGACGAGGAGGCAGCAAAAACAACAAGTAAATCAAAAAGACCCCTCAATGCAACTATGGTGATGAGTGAACATACAGACAGTACAGTTGTGTGTGGAAGTATGTTGAATAACCTATATGAAGAATCTGAACAGCACTGAACTCATCATCCTCCTTCAGAGAACAGCAACACAGAGACAGAATAGAAGAGAGGATGGAAATAACCCCAAACTGTACATTTACTACCAGTTCCATTCACACCATCAGATATACAAGTCAGAAAAAGCCTCAAGGTCCATCAAAATCAGCACCGACTACGAGTTAAAACACACCCAACTAATAGTATACAGTAATGGCGTACCAATTGCAGTCACTGGCGAGGTTGACCTGACAACAGTGAATAAGCTAACATGGCATCCGAGTTAAAAGGAAAATATGGATAGAAATGGATGGGCAGTTTGGGGGCAACTTTGGACACTACATCCATGGCTTTTAAATTAAGTTAGAAAATTAGGTTAACCCTCATTGCTTTAAATTCAACTACAGACATACATCAATGGACAGTAGCAGCACTGCTGGCCTCAAAGTATCAAAGCTCTCATATAAATGAATGAGCTTCTAGTACAGTATAGTACAGTTCACATATCATATTCACTAGCCCTTCAACATAACACCTCCAGATTAGTCAGTTCTGTAAAATTGCATGTGCAAATGATTGTATGTTTAGAAATGATCATTGCACACCTTGTATTCAGTCCAGGTGCTTGGGTAAAATAAACTTCCATCCAAAGTACCTTCTTGAGGTTTTAAAATAAGAAAATGAATATATGGCTTGAACCACGACAGAATAGTACAACAGTTGGCCCAAAACGTATACATACTGTACCTTAGTAATGTAACTCCCCCAGGGTAAATCAACTATAGTAGTCCGAGAGTAACGTAGATGGTTGAGTGGTAGAGATGTGCAGTAGTGACGTGATTATTGAACTTTATTTAGTGACAGTGTGCTGTGTGACATATTACAGTCTAGTCATAAGTGGTGTGTTTATTAGGTCCAAACCTATTCACTGCTTGTTGTGTCTTTGTGTCATGGATGGCATTACTATTGAGCGTTGCCATTTCCTTCAAACAGACGTACAGGTATAAATAATACAGTTGTTATACTGTATCTGATGTGTCTTGAAGAGAGTGACCAATGTGACAAAAAAGCTCCAAGATCCAGCTTGATAGAGGAGCTGTACTAGTGCTCTGTGCTTACCTGGACTGGACCCAAACTAGACAGGCTGTATGGAACCAAGAGACTGTATGACCACATGGGGAATCAGTGTGTATGACCCCATACGACATGTCTGTGACCCCAGAGGGCATTAATAAAACGAACAGTCCAACATGACAGGCTTGATTTGACGCATTGGCCAAAGAGTTGTAGAGAGACTTCAGGTAACTCGTGTACAAGCTCCAGGCTTCTTTTCAACAGTTGGAATGTGCAGTATTGGTGGGGACAGTATATGAATGCATGTGTGTGAGGTTGTGAGTCAGTATTTATTGGAGTTTAATGGTGCGCATCTGCAATTTGTGCATGAATGCAACTGTGTATGAGACACTGTTGTGTGTGTGTGAATTAGTAGTTTTCCCGGACAGAGGAGAAGAGCACAGAAACAAGAGGTTGAAGAAAAAGAGGAGGATTGCGGAGGAGAAGTGTTGGCAAATGCGGAGGGCAGGGCGGGCTTTGACAGGAGATTGACAGGTGGTGTTACGTCAACTCGCTCCAGCTATAGGCCACAAACAGCAGGAGGAGACAGAACACGTGTAACAGGCTCGAGCAAATCAGGTCCCACGGCTGCCATGCTGGAGGCGGAGCCTGGGCCACCTGTGTAGAAGTCTCGGGGGCAGGGTTTGGGCCCTCCCCCTGTCTGTCTGAGTCCCTCCCCTCTGTGGGGGTCTCCATGGTGACCAGGGCGCACACGGTAACACGGATCGGCCGCAGGTGACACTGGATGATGTCATAAGCTGAGCAGAGGGAAGACTGAGGGCCCAAGGAGGAAGAGGAGGAAACATACAAGGTGAATAAAGATGAAAGGAGAAGGATTGGAAAACGAGGGAAAGAATGATACAGATGGATGAAAGGAGTCACAGAGGAACATCAAAGGATATTGCACATGAAGAAGAGAAATCCAGTCAGATAGAAGTGTCGGAGAACAATGAGAGAGGGAAGAAGAACAGAGGAGAGGAGAGAAAATACCATAGGAAGAAGGAGGAAATGGGAAGGGAGTGCCAGGAAAAGACAAATAAGGGGAAGAGGTGCAGAGGAGAGGAAGAGAAGGAAGAGGGAGGGTGGTCCGGCAGGAAAATAGAACAGAGAGAAACAAGGCAGGATGTTACCCGGTGGAAACAGAGGTCAGGGGTCAAGGTGTGTGTTTATGTGCAGGGCGCAGGCGTGGGTAACGTGCAGGTCTGCTTTTTGAGAGAGAGTGTGTGACTTAAATTTATAAAACTGAAACTGAACTCTGTCTCTCTTTCAGAAAGCAGGCCATGCTGGGGTGTGGAGCTTTAGGAGAAATGAGGGTGCGGGTGGTGTTAGCCAGCTACGCCTTCACTTGCATTAGCTTTCAATCCAGCGCAAAGCACCTGTTTCAGCGAGGCAGTGACATTTCAGCCAGCAAGCAGCAGTAGAATCAGCAAGCAAGCAGGGGGTCTAAGGAAGCAGCCAAGAGGTCTCAAACAGTCTCACTGTTGGTATTGGTAATACTGTGTATTCTACTGTACAGTCCCAGCAGGCTACTCAAACACAGCAGGGATTACTACACCAGGGTAAGATCAAATAATGAGTTCCACTACCACTGTCATAATTACTGACTATTTACTAAAGGAGAAATCAACACAGTAATGAGTCACCAGGGTCAATTTGATACTCACACACAAGCACACTTATATTATATATATTATATTATGTTACCATCCCATGCACACAGGACATCTTTCAGTCAAGTAAATGACATAACATTTCTGCCATGTTTTTCTGCAGGAATGACAGCACACCAGCTCCTGTTAAATTCATTTTTTTCTTTGGCACTAGCTGGGGTCAGAACCAGACAAGAGCCAGGTCAAAGTTCTAAAGTATAAAGGAAGCCCAAAGCCGTAGTGGGTAGTGATGATGACAGCATAGTCCAGTGTGATGATGATGATGATGATGAAGATGCAGCTTTAATGCTTGTGTCATACATTTTACACTCACTCAGAGGAGGAGTAGAGGGGGATGGGAAGGTGATTGGCTAAATGTGCCAGTTCTGGGATCAAACTATGTGCTCCGACTGGGCAGATTGTTTTGAGTGATGAGTATAAAGGGGTTTGGTCCCGATGTCAAATACATATCCTAGAACTGTACTACCGTATAAAATAAATAAGTTGTAGACTTCTCAAATGGTCTAGTTTCATCCCAGCACTAGCACCCAGCCTTTTCTGACCCTCCATACTAGTGTGTATAGTATCTGTGTTCTATACAGGCTGTGTGCATCACTGATCCCCAATCAGCCCACCCACAACTTGATTCCAAACCCAATGATGCACTGTAGCTTTTATTCAAATTATTAACAGATCGAAGATCAGTTTACCTCAGTTAAATCCTATCTCTAACAGTGAATCTGAAATACAGTGGCTGATTCAGGATCAATGAGGTGCCACTATCTAACAGAAAGGAGGGGGTGTGTCTCACCTCGGGAACGCCCATCTTCCTACAGGCATCGAGGAAGTTCTCTACGTTCCGCCGACACTTGGCCATGCTGAGTTTGGGCTGCGGGGTCACACACAGGGTCACACAGAACACAGAGCTCAACGGAGACTATAACTGTCTATAACACAAAGAATCACCCATTCCCACATATCCCTTTTTAACCCCTCATTGACCCCCAGACGTACCACAGCAGGCGAGGGCACATGGATGCTGACCACAGAGCGTGGGCGAATGTGATTGGCCAGATGGCAGAGCACCACCCCATCCATGAGGGAGGAGCCTAGGTCTTCAGGAAGTGCCACCTTCAGTCTGCTCTCTATGCTCTGAGGAGAGACAGGAGGGGTAAGAGGGTTCAAAACACACCTTAACACACACACAAACTGAGGACATAATGCTAATACTGGGGAGTTGACTTCCCGAAGCGAGAAAGAGAGAGAAGCTCTCACGTCTCTGAGTTGTTCCATCAGCTCCAGCTCTTCTCTCAGCTGTTCCATCTTCCTCCTCATGGTGAACTGAGGGTCAACAGACTCCAGGGTCTTATGGGTCCTCAGGAATACTGCCCCCAACAGGCAGGAGAGAACAACAACAGCCATCCATTAGACAGGATGTCAGTAACTAACACCTACACATATTGTACTGTACATATAGTCATTCACACCCCCCCACACACACTTCACACCCATAAAATACATACTGTAGCCTACATAAATGCATACTGCAATATTCACTGACACGGAAACACACTTTCACTTACAAGCGGATGCGTAGCTACTGATACTGTACAGTTGCATAACCCCTTATTCATATAAACTAATGCAGATGCACTCTACCGTGCTGGGCTCTGGGCTGCCTTCATTGTCATGGAAACAGTCATCTGCACTGGGAAGTGAATGTGGAAGACTGGGTTTCCTAAAGGTGTTCCACTTAGTCAATCCTGCATACCAACAGATAGAATAGCAAGCCCTCAAGGAAACTAATGTAACTGAAAGTTCTAAAAAAGACTTGAAGCAATGCAGAATATTTATCCATCTTATCTTATTGTACATTCATCTGGGTAAGCACAAAATAAGCAAGTCACAGCTACAGAGAAGTGTTTGTTTTTACTGTGTGTGGGAGGAGGAAATGTATTCAGAGTGTGTGTGTGTGTGTGTGTGTGTGTGTGTGTGTGTGTGTGTGAGAGAAACGGGCATAGCCTCTGATCACATTCTACAAAATAGGAGTGAATAATTTACTAAATCAGTCAGTGGCCTATCTTCTAGTCATAAATCTCCTTACAGCTCAGTGACACACCACACGTTCAGTAGCGCTGCCTTGTGATACACATTCAGACCACATGAGGGAGCCCAAGAGTCACTGGATACTTCAACTAATGCTTGGGGAAAAGGGAAGGAGAACGCATTTCTGAAGTATTCACACCAGGCCTTAATAACATGGGCCTATCTGATCATCTCTCACAGGGAAATGGCTCCTTGAGGGGCTATCCAAGTAGGAAGTGAGAGATAAACACACACAGGCCTCATCCAGAAGCATGACTGGCTGATAACTATCAGAGTGGGTAGAGGGGGGCAGCGAGGGGCGATGGTCAACCTCCCTTATCGCCATAAAGAGAACAGGATATTGATTATTAGAGAGTGTAAATATGGTTAGCAAGGGGTAAGAGTAACATTTAACAATACAACAACAGAATGAGACGTGAAAAGTTACATATCACAACATTTGGATTTGAAATATTTTGGACATCAGAGCAACCTTGAGGAAATCTTATTTGAGTCAAAAAATGATGTTCATATGATAGGTAAGATCTACAAAACCTTGCAGAGCGCATATCCAACTGACAAACTCTTAGAAAAAATATAAACTATTGGAACCAAGACTTAAAAATGCCTGATGTTGGCACAAGATGGAGAGAAAATTGGAGTATAACTAACGAAATTACAGTTAACGAAAATGTACACTTAATCCAGTATAAACTAATGTATAGAATGTATTATACAAGAGACAAAATTCCCTAATTCTACAGCACAACGGCAGACAAGTCTTAAGTGTAAAACTAATAATGACTCAATAATCCATGCTTTTTGGGAACGCTATAAAGTCCAAAAGTTATGTGTGGAGCTAGAAAGTTGGCTGTCAGAAGTATTACAATGTAAACTTACTTTTAATCCGTCTGTCTGCATATTTCAAGACATGGCATATGGGGGTGTAGGGAGATACCCAATGGGCTGGACGATTCTCTTCTCATCTTGAAAAAATGTATACTAAAAACTTGGAAATCAATTAATCCGCCATCATTGATACAATGGAAAAATCAAATGATTTATTATTTAAATATAGAAATGGCATGGGTGACCGAGAAACTATTTGGTACAATGTATGGCCAAGTGGCAAACAATAGTGCAGGCACTAGGGATGGGGGTGTGAGCATGCGTGTCTGGGCAGATGAGATGTAGTGCGTCTTTAAGTTGTTGTTCTATGTACAGTGCTGCTTGAAAGTATGTGAACCCTACAGGGCTGGTCATTATTTTGCTATAAAATATTAAAATAAACATAAAATCATTATCTAAACCCCAATTCATAATACAAATATTCCAAGTAAATGACAGAAACAAAAATATGATTTATTTAACAAAAGTGGTTTATTTAACAGAAACTCAGATTTGATGTGTGCAAAAATATGTGAACCCCTTCAGTCAATAGCTTGTACCTCCATTAGCAGTGATAACTTGGACTAAACGTCTCCTATAGCCAGTAATCAGTCTCTGACATCTGTTTTGAGGGAATTTTGTCCACTCCTTACAGAACTTTGAGGGGTGTCTGGCATGAACTGCCCGCTTCAGATCCTGCCACAGCATCTCGATTGAATTTAGGTCAGGACTTTGACTTGGCCAATCCAAAACACAAATCTTCTTTCTCCTGAGCCATTCTTTGGTAGATTTGCTTGAATGCTTTGGGTCGTTGTCTTGTTGGAAGACGCATTTTCGGCCCAGCTTTAGCAACTTGACTGATGGCCTGACATTCTGTTAAAGAATCTCCTGGTGTACCTCAGAATTCATGGTTCCCTTAATGATGTGGAGTCGTCCAGGTCCAGAGGAGGAAAAGCAGCACCAGATCTTGACATTCCCACCACCATGCTTGACTGTTGGGATAAGGTTATTTTGGTGGTAGGCAGTGTTGGGTTTTCGCCAAACATAGCGGTGTTGATTGTGACCAAAAAGGTCAATTTTGGACTCATCGGTCCAGAGAACGGACTTCCTGAAACCTTCAGGTTTGTCCAGGTGGTCTCTGGCAAAGTTAAGACAGGCAGTTTGGTTCTTTTTTGACAGCAGAGGTCTTCTTCCTAGCAACCCTCTGATGAACGGCATTTCGATTCAGTGTTCTTATTGTTGAAGCATGCACAGTTACCTGAGATGTAGCAAGGGAGGTCTGCAAATCTCTAGATGTTATGTTTGGGTTGGCTTTTACCTGATTTATTATTGTTCTTGTGGCTCTTGGGGATATTTTGGAAGGGCGTCCACTTCTAGGCCGAGTTGCTGTCATGTTAAATGCTCTCCATTTGTAAATTATTTGCCTCACAGTGGACTGATGGAGCTCAAATACTTTTGAGATGATTTTATAGCCTTCTCCAGACTGATGTGCTCTCACTACCCTCGTCCTGATGTCCTCTGAGATATCCTTTCCTCTCGGCATGGTGTGCCTTGCATTCACCTGGATGGGTAACACCAAACTGACCTGGTTTCTTATCTCTATTTATCAGAGTCCCGCCCAAACTCTTTCCTAACGATCTCTCCTTTGATTGGTTCATTTGGTAGCTAATTATTTACCCACCTGATTCTACTTACCTACTTGATTTAACCAATGCAACTTGAGGTTCACTTATTTTTGCACCTGCCCTAATTCCTTTTTAATTTTGTTTTTCTACTACACGCATGATTTCCTCTACACCAACATATGGTATAGGTAAAAATAAACCTGTTATGTCAGATCAAAAAGACTGGTTCTGATTAAATGAAGATTGCATGGTAAAAACTGAACAAATCTGTAATTGAACAAGTGGTTCACATACTTTCAAGCAGCACTGTGTAAGTTTGTATTTGGAGTAAAAAAAATGAGTATATATATATATATATATATATATATATATATATATATATATATATATATTACATACACACACACACTACATGACCAAAAGTATGCGGACACCTGCTCATCGAACATCTCATTCCAAAATCATGGGCATTAATATAAAGTTGGTCCCCCCTTTGCTGCTATAACAGCCTCCACTCTTCTGGAAAGGCTTTCCACTAGATGTTGGAACATTGCTGCGGGGACTTGCTTCCATTCATCCACAAGAGCATTAGTGAGGTCGGGCACTCATGTTGGGCGACTAGGCATGGCTCGCAGTCGGCGTTCCAATTCATGTCAAAGGTGTTCGAAGGGGTTGAGGTCAGGGCTCTGTGCAGGCCAGTCAAATTGTTCCACACCAATCTCGACAAACCATTTCTGTATGGACCTCGCTTTGTGCAAAGGGGCATTGTCATGCTGAAACAGGAAAGGGCCTTTCCCAAACTATTGCCACAAAGTTGGAAGCACAGAATCGTCTAGAATGTCATTGTATGCTGTAGTGTTAAGATTTCCCTTCACTGGAACTAAGGGGCCTAGCCCGAACCATGAAAAACAGCCCCAGACCATTATTCATCCTCCACCAAACTTTACAGTTGGCACTATGCATTGGGGCAGGTAGCATTCTCCTAGCATCTGCCAAATCCAGATTCGTCCAGATGGTGAAGTGTGTTTCCATGGCATTCCTTTCACATCTCCTTTGTTTCCACTGCTCCAGAGTCCAATGGCAGCGAGCTTTACACCACTCCAGCCGACGCTTAGCATTGCGCATGGTGATCTTAGGCTTGTGTGCGGCTGCTCGGCGAACAGTTATTGTGCTGACGTTGCTTACAGAGGCAGTTGGAACTCTGTAGTGAGTGTTGCAACCGAGGACAGACCATTTTTACGCACTACGCGCTTCAGCACTCGGCGGTCCCGTTCTGTGAGCTTGTGTGGCCCAACACTTCGCAGCTGAGCTATTGTTGCTCCTAGACGTTTCCACTTTACAATAACAGCACTTACAGTTGATTTGGGCAGCTCTAGCAGGGCAGAAATTTGACGAACTGACTTGTTGGAAAGGTGGCATCCTATGACGATGCCACGTTGAAAGTCACTGAGCTCTTCAGTAAGGCCATTCTACTGCCAATGTTTGTCTATGGAGATGGCTGTGTGCTCGATTTTAGACCTGTCAGCAACGGGTGTGGCTGAAATAGCAGAGTCCATCAATTTGAAGGGGTGTCCACATACCTTTGTACAGTGGGGAAAACAAGTATTTGATACACTGCCGATTTTGCAGGTTTTCCTACTTACAAAGCATGTAGAGGTCTGTCATTTTTATCATAGGTACACTTCAACTGTGAGAGACGGAATCTAAAACAAAAATCCAGAAAATCACATTGTATGATTTTTAAGTAATTAATTTGCATTTTATTGCATGACATGGCAGAATGGAAGAAGTTCAAGATGACGGTCAATCACCCTCAGTCTGGGG